GCCCAGTGGCATCTCAAAATTTTCTAATCTGGCCCAGCAGAAAAATTAATTGAATAGGCCTGCTGTACATAAAGCCAGTTTATTTTGCATCCTCATTACAGTGTCCTAAAAAAACCCATGTCTGATACAGGGACAACTCCCCAGACCCTGAAAAGAAGAAGCAGGTAAAGTCATTTAATTTTTTGTTGAAGCTGAACTGACAATGTTCCTCTTGTGAAGCACGGAGGAAGCAGCGTGATGGTGTGAGGGGACTGTGTGTCAACAACGGATGAAACTGAAAGAACTGCTCTCATGTGACCTGGGTTCTGTTAGTCCACCACTTATGACCCAAAACAACACGTAGAGACAAAACCAACACCTGTTTTCACCTAACTCCGACAGATACTTTAACACTGACATATATTACTGGATAGGACGTGGCTAGCTGGTTGCGAGCTACACTGATGTATGCACGCAGGAGCTACATAATGCATTGAAGAGCGTCAACAAAACTGATGTCTTATCAGACGTCGTCCTGAAAAAAACCTTTTACAAGTTGTTTTTTCTTGCTAGATTTGAATAAACTACTTTTAACATAACTATGGGGATATTGTGAATGCTCTGGTTTTTAGAAACTTAGAATAAATAACAAATTAAAATTATTAACAGTGGCGTAAATAAGCTTCACTTATGTTTTTGTTTACTGTACATCCCTAGAACTGGTAAGTTGCCAGTTCGATCCCTCGTTCCACCTGTTTCAGTTTTTGTGTCCTTGGGCAAGATACTTCACCCCCCATGCCTCTGATGTGTCCCATCAGTTTATGAATGTGATTTAAAGCACTAATTAGTCTCCAAAGATGATTTGCTCATGTTAGTGAGATCTAACAGAGTGCTGTGTGGATGCGTAAATGAGGACACAGGTTGTAGTGTGAAGCTCTTTGAGTATCCTGGTTGGATAGAAAGACATGATAGAAGTACAGCACATTTACCATTTTAGTTTTTCAACAAAACATGTTCAAAACCAGAACTTCCTCTTTTTATCTTCCTCAATTCAGTCCAGTCYGAGGCATTGGCCGATCAGAGTGAACCAAGCTGAAACTGGACTCAMCACTTTGGTCTTTGCCCGAGTCAACTGTAACATCAGTTTTTGTCCTCAGGTCTTCAAACTGAGATAATTATATTTATAGATGGCAGACTTCGTATTAGGAGAAGTTGTACAGGAAGCACGTGATGCGTACACAAAAATAACTGACTGACAGCTGGAACATCTGTGGACAGAACAAAGCTGTTAAGAGTAAAAGCAGACAGTAAAAGACATTAAAAGGTATCATATCATGCTTTTAAATCCTTCTTTTTCACRTATAAATCATTCACTTGTTGTCTATTTAAAATAAAACTGCAACGCTTTGGTCTTAATTCCTCGTTTTTGTTGCTCCACAGACTCCTTGCTTTCCTTGCTTTACCCCTGTTCTGAGTTGCGCCTCAGAGCAAGCTGTTTTGGTGCGGTCTCTTTAAATACAAGTGAGATATTTCACACCCCGCCCACTCCAGATCGCTGAACGTTCGACTCCAGCCCGTTCGGCCATGTTTGTGGTTTCATAGCAAAAGCAGTTATCTACCGACTAAAAACTGTTTTTAAGATAAAATAAGATAAGATAAAACTTTATTGATCCCACAGTCTGGAAATTTGCACATTACTGCAGCTTAATACAAGAGAGGCTGAGAAGAATAATGAAAGATTAATAAAGATAAACAAAACCCCACAATATACACGTGATATATAGTAATGTACCAATGCACATATACACATATAGATAAACACATATGCTTATTTATATACATATACAGTATACACCGTAAAGTACAGTACAAAAATGAATGTATATGAAGGTGCATATTAGTGATGGCAGATGGTAAGAAAGTGTAAGGATGTCAACAACAGTAGACTTGTCAATCCAGCCTTACATGTACGAGCCAGAGTCTGACCCAGTGCAAGACACTCAGAATGACAAACCTGCAGAACCACGTCTTCAAACGAATGTGTCACAATGGTGCGTTATTTATTTACACAACACACTATGTCCTTACCTACACTGGGGAGCGTAGCTAAACTAAAATACATGCATTTGAACAACTATTATAT